CGGCGCGGGCGCTTGTAGCCTGGGGACGCGCAGGCATTTCGGTGCTGAGGTCACGAGCAGGCACTGGGGGTCTCAGCTGGGGATAAAATAGGTTTCTCTCGGGAGGAGCATGTTGCCTTACGTGTTTGCTTGCACTAAACGCGAAGAATTGACAGGAGATCATGTGTAAAGACACTCAAAAGTATTACCTCCTTGCAGTCCTTCCACATCTGGTACCAGACAGTCTAAATGCCCCTCTTTAGCCCATCCCAGCCCTTAGCAATACAAATCCTTACTTATTTGTCTCAGCCACACTGCCTAGGTGCAGCTCGGTTAACAGTTTGGCCTCCTGCTCTTACCGAGAAAGGACTGGCCGTCTCTGCCTGCCTGGCCACTGGCACTAGCCCTGGGTGTCCTCTGCCTGCAGCTGGGGGATTCAGCTCGTCACACAAGACCCTTAGTCTTGTTCCTGGACTAGTTGTCTGCTTCCGTTAGTAGGATTAGGACCATTGATTCTCTGCAGTCAGATAAACGTACCCCAAAATCAAGAGAGAGAAAAAGGTCAAGAGAAGTGGAGAGCAGTTTGCAGGAGGGGACCGCTGTGAGGGGAAGAAAGCGTAAGAGGAAATGGGGTGGCAGTCTTCTGGCAGCAAATTACTAGTTAGTCTCAATCTAGCTGCGCTCTTAAAACACTGTGAAACCACCTAAAAAACCATTACTGCTTTGTAGAAATATAGGCCTTTTTAAAGTCTGTCTTTCCCGAGTTGTCATGGAGACATGCAAAATAAAAGGAGCTGGAAATTCCCAGGGAAAGAGTGGGGGGATCCTTTTCAGATAAGGGTTGATGAGATTTGAGAGGTGCTTTGGAAATCTAGGCGGTAGCTTCTGGCTGAATGTGAACTGGCATGGAGTCTGTTTGATCTCGGTGTCTGTCTGATACCATCCCTTCAGTATAACTCCAGAATTGACTTACCAAGAGCCATCTGTGTGCTTTGAGCCAAGTAGGTCTCTATGTTCATTTTAAGCAAAACTGTAGCCATCTATTAATACATCACTGAACTCTAAGTATCAAAGATAACAGCAGCTCATTACTAAACTTACTTCTCTTGTTTTTAATTAATTTCAGCTATGTATGAGCCTGGAAGTTTTGCAGCATCACGTTCTAGACGTGACAAGAAGTCTAGAAGAGGCCAGCAAGAAGCACTGGAACGTCTGAAAAAAGTCAAAGCTGGTGAAAAAATAAAATATGAGGTGAAAATTCCTCATCTTTTTAATAAAAAGTGAATGTGAGCTAAGATGCTTAACTACCCTCTATATGTATCTAAAAGTTACGGGAAACAAAATCTGCCTTTCAGAGCAAAAGCAGCTTTTGTTTGTTAATGGAGTGTGTTTTCCGAATGTAACTGTAGTTGTTTTGCTGCTTTCTGATATCATTTAATTGTTGCTTTCTGTTTTCAAAAGTAAAACAATTCTTTTAACTGCAAGTCAAACATGCTTGATAACCATCCCACAGGGAAGGACCAACGTTTAAATTGAATTATGTAACGTTATGATAGCATGTACTTTTTTATAAAAAACCCTTCAAATTATTTTAAACTTTAAATGAATTTTAAAGCTTCACATGATTGGAAACTGTTAATATTGATATGCTATGTTTCCACAAAGAAACTGAAATGTAAGTATTTAATGGGTAGAACTGAAGTCTGACAGTGTAACATTGATACTGTTCAAGTAATTTTAATGCCAACAGGAAGTGAATTCCACACTGAGGTGGATAAATCTAAAGAAGCCTGAAGTGTGTACATCATTAATATGCAAAGATCTCTGAGGCACAAAAGAGAATTTTCAGCATTATGCTTGGGCATATCGAATTACCTTCCTTTTCATTGAGCTCATGTTGGTGTTTGAGACTAGAGCCAAAGGTCAGAAGTCTCCATTGCTGCGATTTTTAAAAATTATTTTGTAATGTGAAATGAGCAATAAAGCATCTCACTTTCAAATGAAACCTCTGACAGTGCTTCACTAGATTTTGAGTTTCAGTATACTGTGATAATTTGTCACTGCCAAAAAGAGAAATTTTAACTGAATGAATAGCTGCACTTAGTAGTTGTGAACAGTGTAATAGTGGAGGAAGCAATGTGTTTCTTGGGAACTTCTATGTTCTTACTGATGACCTATATTAGTAAGTAATGTCATGGGAACTGTTAATCCTCAGTATACCTTAACTGTAGGTTGAGGAGTTCACGGGTGTTTATGATGAAATAGATGAGGAAGAATACTCCAAGATGGTCAGAGAACGTCAGGATGATGACTGGATTGTTGATGATGGTAAGTTAAAATTTGGAGAGTTATTTTTATTATTCTGTTATAACTCAGGCTTCATAATGTTCATGACTTGAGTTATAGTTAGTACATTCTTACAGATTGTTTTAGAAGACAAGGTAAAATTTTATATGGAAATCAATCTTTTGTACTGTTCTCATAGTAGTGTATTAGAATGGTAATGAAAATATTTTTCCATTAAGTTTTTGAAATTTTATTTCCAGTTATCAATGATGTAACTTTAAAAAGAAGTACTGTAATTGATAATTTCTAATTAAACACATCATAATATATTTAGTCTAGTAGAAGATACAGCTGAGAGTGCTGTAGTTTTTAATGTTTTTATATTTATAACTTTATATAAAGAGGAAAAAGTATTTATGTAAATAAATAAATTTATGTAAATAAATATATCAGATGACAGAATTTATAATGTAAATTCTTTACAACTTGTTTTACTACAGATGGGATAGGTTATGTAGAAGATGGAAGGGAAATCTTTGATGAAGATCTGGATGATGATGCTCTTGGTTCCAATAAGAAGGGTAGGTTGAACATGACCTCTGTAGAATGTCTTCCAGTGGCTTTTAAAAGGTATCTTAAACAGGCAACTTCTTGGCATCAGTTGTGAATATGGCCAAATGACATGTTGCTAGAAGTTCTGTAGTTCTATGCCTGTGACTGTGTTTTTTTTGTTTAACCCCTGTGATACAGAAGATAGAGGTCCACACATTGAGGTCAAATCACTGCTAACCACTTCAGTGCTACCAGGGCAGTTTTGCTTACAGTCTTCTGTGGCTTATATATGCACTTCTAAAACAAATGCACCTAGAAATTACCTCAGTTTCTAAAGCCAGTGTCTAAAGGATGTGTGATCTCTTTCACCACTAAAATACTTGAATGTTTTTAAGGATCTGGGATTAAATGGTTTTGTCAACTTATATGAAGTTGGTGGCAAACTGAGAAGTTGAGTCTGATGTTGAGAATCCAAGCCTAGTGCGAAACTTCTGGACACTCGTGTTTTTTCGGGAGATGCTTTCATGTAAAATATCTTGCTTGTTTTTCTGGAGTATGAACTTGTGTATACAAAGATCATTTCTGATGTGACTAGGAGAGATAAGATGCTGATAGGTTTTGGGTTTTTTTGTGCGTGTGTATGACAGCCATTACAAAGCTGGTAGCAAATGAAAGATGGTTAGGTCACATGATTTCAGCCAGCAGTGTAAAGGCAGAAGAAATAGACTACCTCAGCTGTCTATTTCTTCTAATAACTGGACCCTTAAACATTGAGCTTTTCTGATGCAGAATTCACAATTTTCTATTTTTCTGTAGGAAGAGGCGGCAAAACATCTACGGTTGATAAAA